TTATCACGCGACGAGAATACTTTTTGTGTGTAAAAAACGAACAAAAATAACAACTTTATTCAACTATTCATTTCAACGTACAACCTAGAAGCTTTGCGCAGTTCCACTGCGTGAAATCTCAAGGCCAACAGAGAAAGAAATGAATAGTTGAATAAAGTCGTTATTTTTGTTTGTTTTTTACGCACAAAAAGTATTCTCGTCGCGTGATAAACTTAAGGTTGAGCCACTGTAGTCACTCGGACTATTTTAACGATGTCTTTCATAACTTTTGGGCCGGCCAGTTTCGATCCCTTAAGAAGCCTATGGAGGAGTGATCCAGCTCTCAGATTTAATCAAAAATATCTTAATTTGTGTTCCGAAGATGAACGAAAGTCTTACGGGGTTGGAACAACATGAGGGTGAGTAATTACTGACAGAATTTTCATTTTTGGGTGAACTATCCCTTTAAATTTAATTTTATTTCAAATAGCAAAAGTTTTTTTTATGGTTTTAGTTATTACTATAATAACCCTGGTGTGATCATCCCCTCTGCTCAAACTCCAGTAATTGTCCTCATCACAATGATGCTTGGTGGAGTCAAAGAGCAAATTTGAGTGAAGTCAGCAGTCCAGGGAGAGAGGAGGGCTTAGCAACACCTGCCAGTCATATTCAGCGTAGTCTTCAGCCCATTGGATGAGCCATGAACAGATGCACATGTGCCTTTAGGGTCTTTAACAAAGACACGTCTCCCACATCCCCCGCGTACTCTACACGCATGCAGGAGACATTACGACAGAAAATAGTGTTGTTGCAGTAAGGCTCTTACTATGAAGGAATCCATGAACATAATAAAAATGTATAGTTCATAGTGCAGTCATTCAATCTTATATTGATAATTAATAATACATGTGTGCAGTTGTCTAAATCAACTGGTTAACCGACTATTAATACTATCAGTTAAACGGTTTAAAAAGTCATTTTTCAAGATTTTTTGAAAATGTTTGCTGTACGTTTTAAAAAATGCCTATACATATAAAATTGGCTTTCTATGAGAGAAAAGTCATTTTATTATTGCATTAATGTGAAATACCGGTAAATAAAGCTAAATGTTAACAAACATTATAAACATAGCTAAAGACTATTTTAGTTCCCCTCACTCCGTGATAAATCCTGTAAATTTAACTTTATTCAGAACTGAACAAGAATACAAAATAAAAGTAGCTAGCTTATTTAAACTTCAAGCCAAAATGAATCCATTTAAAGCAAAACTCTGTCATTGCGCAACAAATCCAAATGATTCCATATTCGGGATGTATTTGGATGCTAAATTATTATTTATTATGTAAACTAGGCTTTTTACTTCACTAGCATTCCAATATCCACATAAAACATCATCCCTCACGTGTGCAGAAATGTGCTTGGCATAACAGCACAGTGAGGCGGTGGTCACTATTTAAGGTGAGCAGTGTCATTTTTTTATATGTTTGTTTGACTGTATTTTATTTTGATAATGAACAGGCTGCAATGTCAAGTTAGCAATGCTAGAACTGATATGTGTGTGTGCGCGAGGCGATCTGCACAATCACTTGTATTTTTTTTCCTGATAACAGCGGAAACAACTTTATATACTCAGTCATTTATGGGCATACTTTTATAGTAATATAATATTTAATAATAAAATGTATAATATAATAAATGTTTGTATTCAGAGTATTTTAGACTGGTTCGGGTCGTACCGCTGGGGAGTAGCCCAGTACCTGTCATGGACATAAACAGAGAGAAGGAGCTCCTGCTACAACAATGTTCATCCGCAAGACGCATACAGTTCTGTTTATTAAAGGAGTAGTTCACTTTTAAAAAAACTTTTGCTGATAATTTACTCACCCCCATGATCCAAGATGTCCATGTCTTTCTTTCTTTCTTCAGTCGAAAAGAAATTAAGGTTTTTGATGAAAACATTCCAGGATTTTTCTCCATATAATGCACTTTACTGGGCAGCAAACGGTCCAAGGTCCAAAAGACAGTTTCAGTGCAAACTGCAAACTGTTCAAATGGCTTTAAACGACACCAGACAATGAATAATGGTCTTATCAAGCGAAACGATCGCTCATTTAAAAAATAAATAACAACGTTTAAGTTTAATAAGCTCACATGCTCGCCTTTCTCTGTTCTGTGTGACTCTCCTGTTCGAACTCGTTCATCAAAATGAACAAATCTTTTTCCGAGTCAATTCGTTGATTTTGGTCGTTAAATGAATCAAATGACTCAAAAAAAGGTTTGTTCATTTTGATGAACGAGTTCGAACAGGAGAGTCACGAACGTGCATCACAGAACAGAGCAAGGCGAGCATTTGAGCTTATAAAACTTAAACTTTATTTATTTTTGAAATGACCGATCGTTTCGCTTGATAAGACCATTATTCGTCGTCTGGAATCGTTTAAAGCCCTTTGAACAGTTTGCAGTTTGCACTGAAACTGTCTTTTGGACCTTGGACCGTTTGCTGCCCAGTAAAGTGCATTATATGGAGAAAAATCCTGGAATGTTTTCATCAAAAACCTTAATTTCTTTTCGACTGAAGAAAGAAAGACATGGACAACTTGGATGACATGGGGGTGAGTAAATTATCAGCAAAAGTTTTTTTTAAAAGTGAACTAATCCTTTAATCGCTAGAGCGCCAAAAGTTGCGGACTGCAGCTTTAAATAACCAAATTTTAACAGCACAAGGGCAGATCCCTCGAGCGCAGCTGATGACGCCTTTTAATGACAATGACAATTTATTTATATAGCACTATTAAAAACAACAGCTGTTGACCAATGTGCTTTCCACACAGACTCACAAATCAATAAGGAACTTTATATTTTAGTAACATGTAAGCACATATAAAAACACAGTCTTTAATCAAAAACTTTTGAAAATAAATATGTTTTAAGAGATGCTTAAGTGACCAAGAATATTCCAATTTACAAATCAGCTTTGCTTCGATTTCTCCATCCTCAGGACAGGAGGGTGGAGCTTAGACGTGAGAATGCACAAATAAAAAGCCATGTAAATAAATATCTAAGCTTTCACTGTTCCATCCGTTTCAGTTCCTGTGATGACGATGATGAAATGGATCCAGAGATCGAGGAGGCGTTTGAGAAGTTTTGCATGGAGTCGGACGCAAAAAGAAAGAAATGAGAGACTGTGAGGTTATCATGTTAACACATTACCCGACCAGCTGGAATGTTTCAGAGTGGGAGGAACCAAGAACATTTCGGTTGATTCTCGTTTCATTTCTCAACAAGCACTTCTTGGCTACAACGTCGCTGGATTTATGGCTGGGATTACCGTTTAGTTGAAATGCAGTATAATTTGCAAGTCCGTCAGGCCATCAAAAAAGCCATTGGTTTGGCATTTGGGATGTGAGGTTTATTTTATGCGTGTTCTGATTTATCAAACATCCCCCCCCACCTCAAAAAAAAAAGTTTGCAGTGAGATTTTAATATGAGCCGAAGAGTAGCATCATCGTGTACGTGTGGTTTGTTTGCAGATTAACTGCTCAGTAAATGTAGGAGAAATGAGGCGGGACGCATCGGTTTGTGTTTTACTCCTCAAGGCTTTGCCATATAAAGTTACAGAGCACAGACAGTAAGACGAAAACGTTTTAAGAAAACAAAACTACTGTTCTTCCTTTCACAGATTCTCCTCGAATCTTTTCTTAGAGTTCTACTTTCAATTTATTCACATGTTTGTGAGGAAAAGAGGAACCCCAACTTTAAAGTCTGTTTGGTTTTTTGAATGCAGGGATACATTTTCCACATATGTTAAATAAGCGTGTCAAATCAGAGGAAAAGCTCAGTACAGGTTTGGGGATTTACACAGATTCATCCGCCACTGTGATTTACAGAGGTTTTCTCATCACCAACATCTCATGGATCCCAGATAAAGGAATGTTTATTTTAATATAGCTGTAAATATTATTTGCTGCATTGTTTGCCTGCAATAAATCTTTATTAATACACTGTCTCTTTGCGTTTCTGTTGGTCAGAACTGAGCAGTTTTTGTTAGTCCTGTATTTTTTTTAGCTAATGGACTGTTAGATGAGATGCCGTCCAACTTGTTTTGCAATCTGTTAAATCTTTCATGCATGGTGTCCTCAGTTGCAGACCAGTGAATGAAAGTATATTTTACGCCAATGTATTATACAATATAACATTAACTATGACCCTTTATTTGGCTTTTGTAAAACTGATGATGATTTACAAAGAAAACAAAATTATACTGATATTCAGTAAACTTTTTTTTTTAATGAAAACGTTTATTTAAATGCAATTATAATGCAAAAAAGTGGTGAATATTTCACACGAAAATAATGAAAAAGATAGAAAATCATATATCTAAATAAAATCTTATTCCATATTCATAACTCAGGTTAAAACATTGCACCAAGGGGGCGACAACAGAGCGCACAGATTTATGAGTACTGTAGAAGAAGTGGTTCATCCAATAAGCGTCGTTCTCTTCATAAACCGCGAAAATTTACATGGCAACTATGGACAGTCCGATTCATTTCTGCAAATCGGTTCTTTTGAAGAGTCATGTCAAAGTAATGAATCAAAAAACGATTCGGCGATTATTTGGTCCATGACATCCTGACGTTGCAATAAAGTCTAATCTAAGAACACATGTTTATGATGTTTTTTTTCGAGCAAGTTTAATCAGTGTTAAGTGTTGTAATTTCGTTGCGCACTTCAGTTTGATATAGCTTTTAAAAATAATTCAAATCTACATGAAAACTTTTGACTTCCACATTTTGATGTAATGCTATTTATTTGAACCGAGTCATACAATCAAATAGTAAATTTCCTATACGTTTTATTTGTAACATTTCTGCTTTTCGGGTATTTACTTAACTTATATTTCGTCCCATAAAGTGAAATCCTCTCTTCACTCCCAGTCCCGGGATTGTAAACCAGTTCTGTCGATTCATTCAAAAGATCCGACTCCCAAGAACGATCTATTTGGGAATCGGACAGCGCAATTTGACTCGCGCCTGTGGAGTTTGTTTGTGTCTCTTCAGTGATTGTTAGTGTTTATGTTTAGACTGTCGCAGTCAAATAATTATGTAAATTGTTTTGAGTTCCAGCCGTAGCGTTTTCAGTGTCATGTTGAGTGAGTCATGTGTTCGGTTAGGTTTATGGTCATGTATGTGGATGAGTCTGTGGATGTGTATTACGCAGACGGGTGCAGACTTCAGCTCTCACCCTGCGGATCTGAATTCATGATAGAGAAACACTTGTCACCCTCTGCACACCCGCTACAGCCCAGAGAGAGAGTCAGACAGAGAACAAGATTCGCCATCAGCGAGTATAAGGTACACATATCACCCTTTCATCTGTATAACTATCAAAACTGCCATTTGTAATGCTAAACGTGTTGTGTCTGACTGTTGCATTGCTATCTATCTATCTATCTATCTATCTATCTATCTATCTATCTATCTATCTATCTATCTATCTATCTATCTATCTATCTATCTATCTATCTATCTATCTATCTATCTATCTATCTATCTATCTATCTATCTATCTATCTATCTGCTGTTATACCAAATCCATCCGTTCATCCATCCATGAGCTGTCTTTTGTTTGTCTTAAGTATTTTACTGCTGTTAATATGGATGCACAGTATAAAATTAAATCACTTATTTGTTTTCTCTCTTGTTTAGGCACTGGTAGTGAATGCTTTGGAATTCAGAAACAAGTATGCAACTCATCCATATTTGCCTGAAGAGCTCATAACAGTGGAATTCAACAAGGTTAGACTATCCTAAAGCTGTAGTAAAGGTTTACTTTTTATTACTGAAATCATGTAAATCCAGCTTAATTTCTCATTTATGCTTATTTGCTTAACCAAATGCTCATTTTCAGAAGTTCAACAGTGCCATAACTGAGGTTGAGTGGCCAGGGTCTGACTCTTGCACCACTGGGTCGCATGGAGAGATCACAGTTTGCTCTGTTGATGGACATGCTGAACTGGTTCTTTCCTCTTCTGGAGAAGAGTTCACGGTGGAGTTTATCTGTCGGTCCAGCCAAAATGAAGTAGAGTCGCAGTATTTGCAGCTTCAAGGTCACCAACACAAAAGCACATGTTTATTAAGTGGCTCGTCATTCAAATCTGCCACGGTTAAGGGTTTAACCTCCTCAGCTGGTGCTTGGTTGGACCATCCTGGGTCAGTCGGAAAAGCCCCCAATATGGAAAGACAGGAATCAACAAGCTTGAAGTTTGAAAAGGTGCATGTGTACACCAGAGTGATCCAGCAGTATTCCCGAGTGCTTTACCCACAGATGTGGTGCTATCCTCTGTCATTGGCTGTCAAGCATTGGGAATCACAAAAAACTCAAATAAATACTATCAATGGGCCAGGTAGAAAAGGTTTAACAAATAGCGAAGATAGACAAACATCTCAAACAGGGCTGAAGACTCATCTTCCCAAACCATTGCCTTTAAAATGTCCCTCTCCTCATCAGCACAGGTGAGGAACTCCAAACAACACAACATACAGTCTCATCTCATCTCTCTCTGTCTTTGGCTTTATTTACGGATGAATCTAATTTGGCTAATATTTAATCCCCAAATAAATATGTCATCCCCAAAATCGACCATGTGATGTTCAGGTGGAGATATGACACTGTGAGTCCTGATTTGCTGGATCAGGAAGAGGAAGTAACAGCTGAGCTGGTGAAGGTGGTCTGGTGCAAAGGCATTATATACCGGTGATTACCGATTCATTTCATGTTCATACACCATTACCTATTGCATCATCTTAAAGACCATTACTAGGGTAAAAAATTTACCAAAGCACAGATATATATATTCAAATAAAATATTATGGAAAAGAAAATCAATATATTTCAATATATTTACTTGACTTTTGGTTCATGATTTGCACACAGTCCTTAAAGGGATAGTTCACCCAAGAATGAAAATACTGTCACCATTTTCTCACCCTCATCTTCCAAAACCAGTGTGACAAAACTAACTTTCTTCTGTAAAACATAAAAGAAGATATTTTGATAAATGTCTGTTATTTTTATCCATACAATTAATGTCGAAGGAGTCCAATGTTGTTTGGTATCCCAGAATTCTTCAAAATATCTTCATTTGTGTTTCACAGAAGAAAGAAAGTTATTTGGACAGGTTTGAAATGACATGAGGGCGAGTAAATGATGACGGCATATTAATTTTAGGGTGAACTGTCCCTTTAAGGGCTTTGTGCCAAACAAATAAAGTATACCTTAGACTTAAACACTGACTGATGATGATGATTTCATGTATTTTCTCTCCTTTAGTATAGTAGATGGAGTGATACCGATGGTAGAAATCTCACCCGGTGATGGTTCATTCATTAGATCCAATGGCGTTTTAGCCAATTACTTCACACATTACAAAGCTGGAGCTGCTCACAGAGATGTAAGACGACACTCTAAAGTGTACTCCCTATCAAGATGTGCTTGGTCTCAAGAGAGGCTGATGTACTGATACAGAGAGCATTACATGAATGAATGTATGTATGTAGATGTATGATTCAGAAGATGAGTTAATTTCTGTGCTCTCAGGCAGTGGAGTGTGTGTATTTCCTGTGTGGTCTCCCACCTGACGTACCGGGTCAGCTGTATTCTGTCCAATCTATCGTCACACGGGCCAGCAGGTGAGATGAGAGCTTTACTAGCATACAGCTCACATTAAAACCAAAACCAATAGACAGGATTCCAGGATAACTCATGTCATAATATTCCTAAATAGAGGAAAATTCCTATTTATAGAATTCAGACACCAGGGGGTGATAATGAGACCCAAAATGTTGCACTGCAAAAAAATATTGAACAATTGTGTTTGCTAAGTCAAGCATCACTGTTAGAGCAACTCTAAAGAAATTTTTTTTACCTTAAAATAATGTTTCCAAAATCGTTTCAGCGGTTCATCAAGTCAAAACAGGGTAAAAGGCACTCCTGCCTTCGCTTTGCGGTCCTATATCTGCTAAAACCACACTATTTAAGTTTGTCAGAACGGGTCACGTTTCTACGGAGCCCCCCTAGTCCCACTTTGTCAAAAAAATTAATTATAACTATCTCGTGGCCTCAAGAAACTATCTTGAGGCCACGAGTTCGTATCTTGAGGCCACGAGATAGTTATAATTAATTTTATTTACAAAGTGGGAAAACTACAAATTTGACTTGCTTTACTTGACGTTACAATAGTCATTATTTAGTTTTTCTTTGTTTCTGATTTCGCAATACATCATACTTTCATTAATTAAATCATGCAAAAACATGCATTGAATTGATAAAAAAGTGACAGTAAAAGACATTTTATAATGTTACAAAAGATTTCTATGTCTAATAAATGTTTTTGTTTTTTTTACTTTCTATTCATCAGAGAATCAGATGATGTTTTTTCATTAAGGTTTCACATAAATTATTCAATATTCAACGTTGACAATAACAAGGAATGTTTCTTGATCATCAAATCATCATATTAGAGTGATTTCTGAAGGATCATGTGACACTGAAGACTGGAGTAATGATGCTGACAATACAGCTTTGATCACAGGAATAAATTACATTTTAAAATATCTTCAAATAGAAAGCAGTTATTTTAAATTGTAATAATATTTCTCAAAATTACTGTTTTCACAGTTTTTTTTATCACCTAAATGCAGCCTTATGGAGCCCCCCTAGTCCCACTTTGTCAAAAAAATTTATTATAACTATCTCGTGGCCTCAAGATAAGTAACTCGTGGCCTCAAGAAGATAGAGATACTATCTTGAGGCCACAAGATAGTTATAATAATTTTTTTTTGACAAAGTGGGACTAGGGGGGCTTTGTACTGCCTTGTTTAGAATAAGAGAGATCTTTCAAAAACACATTACCGACCAATATCTTTGTAATGGTTTTGTATAATTTGTGTATTCCACAAACTACATTAAACGAAAAGAAAGAAAGACTATTTTGTCTGTGTTTTGTTAGGATTCTGAAATGTTTCATGCAGGCCAGAAGCTCCCTGAGGGTCCCGCTCTCTCTTTACTGCTGGAACGAGGTGTGTGTGACGGAGACTCACTCAGTGTCGGTGTACTGTATATGGCTGTGTGTGTGTGTGATGATAACGGTTCTGTCTTCAGCAGGCTGCGGTGTGTGATTGTGTACCTGTGGTTCAGGAGGTGACGGTGGCAGGGACAGGACATTTCAAAGCTCTCTCAGACGGGACTGTCGAGGTCTTGTTCCTGGATGGAGTTAGGGCTCAGATGATGTGGAAGTCTGACACATGTACACCTGCACAGGTACATAAACATACTGTATGCATTTCATTAGCGTACAACTACACACTGATCATGAATCATCTCACCAAACTGCTTGTTTACTTCCACATTTAATCAGCTCTTCACCAGAGATTATTTGTTAATGCAATATGCTTAAAGGGATAGTTCACCCAAAAATGAAAATTCTGTCAGTAATTACTCACCCTCATGTTGTTCCAACCCTGTAAGACTTTCGTTCGGAACACAAATTAAGATATTTTTGATTAAATCTGAGAGCTGGATCACTCCTCCATAGGCTTCTTAAGGGATCGAAACTGGCCGGCCCAAAAGTTATGAAAGACATCGTTAAAATAGTCCGAGTGACTACAGTGGCTCAACCTTAAGTTTATCAAGCGACGAGAATACTTTTTGTGCGCAAAAAACACACAAAAATAACGACTTTATTCAACTATTCATCTCCTTCTCTGTACGGCTGTGATATTTCACGTAGTGGAACTGCGCAAAGCTTCTAGGTTGTAGTCACGCATCACACACATGACCAGCGTCGGCCAATAGTGAGCCTACGTGTGACGTGCAACCTAGAAATCTTGCGTAGTATTCTCGTCGCTTGATAAACATTAGATTGAGCCACTGTAGTCACTATTTTAACGATGTCTTTCATAACTTTTGGGCCGGCCAGTTTCGATCCCTTAAGAAGACTATGGAGGAGTGATCCAGCTCTCAGATTTAATCAAAAATATCTTATTTTGTGTTCCGAAGATGAACGAAAGTCTTACGGGGTTGGAACAACATGTCATAATTACTGACAGAATTTTCATTTTTGGGTGAACTAACCCTTTAAATCGATTCACATGCTTAGTTTTTAGTAATTTAGGGGATTCAAACTCAAATTTGCATCATCGAGTTTTTCATAAATAAAAAATATTAGTTAAATATTATTTTATTAATGTAATATATTATTTTTATATATTAAATATTGATCATTACATTACAATGTATGGTTATATTGGTGTATATAAATGAACATTTTATGTTAATTTAGTGAAAAACAGTGAATATGCCAGTTTTATATTGGTATCATTAAGATAATATAGTTTTTATTAAAAACAAATGTAATCAGTTTTTATTCTTATTTTGTTTTCATTTTAATTTTACTTTTAAAGTTTTAGTAATTATGTTGTGTGCTCTGTCTATAGTTTTTATTCATTTTTCTTTGTTTTAGTTTATCTTAGTACATTAAAGTTAAACTGAATTAAAATGTTGCCTTGGCCACTAACTGAAATATTATTATTTTTTAAATTTATATATTTTATTTATATAATAACTCAGGATTAAACCTGATTTTATTTAAATATTTAACTTTTTTAAAACCTTTTTTTCCCTTCTTATTTTACATTTTAAAGGTATATATTTTTTAAGTATTGATTTAGCTACATGGCCCAGTCCTAATCAGCATGCTAAATGCTCAATAGAGCGTAAATTAAGTTACATTGGAACAATGTCAATAAACAAAGTTTTTTTTTTAATCTTTTAAAAAAAGTTATGAATTCATGATTTTTAGATATGTATTTTATTTATGTGTTTGTGATGACAGTGTGGAGAAATGGAGCAGAGACTCGAGACAGAAACCAAACCATCTCACAGGTGGTGCCAGCTCAATATGCCAGATGGGCACCAAACTCTTGTCCAAGTCGAGACAGACAAAACATATCACAGGTAAAGAGATAATGTTCCCCCCCCCCCCCCCCCCCCCCCGTAATTTCCTATTATCTCTCTCTCTATCTCTCTCTCTCTCAGGTATGTGTCGGTAGTAGTGCAGTGGTGTGACTGGGTAAAACAGAGCATGAGCGCAGTGGGTGTGGCTCTCTCAGACTCCGCCCATTCTGACACTCCTCAACCAATAACGTGCAGGTATTAAGGAACTCTTAATCCCTGTATCATCTTTATTATAGTATTATAGTGATGCATTTCTCAATCACTCTCATCCAGAAATCTGCTCTCTGTGTTCTTTCCAGGGTATTTTAAAATATAGTTATCCAGTATAATTGCTTTTCTATGCAGTGAAATTGAATGGAGGATTGCCACAACAAACTTATGTGTCTTTACAAAGTTTAATGCATTTCAAAGTGTAAAAGAAAAATGATGAGAACATTTTTTTATGGTAGAGACACTTTTTGTGACATGGCGATCAGAATTTTTGGTTGAACTATCCCTTCATCATCCTGATTTGTTTCACCCCTATAGGTCTGTTGTTTCAGAGCTGGAAAAGATCAAGAGGTTTAACTGTATCCTTTTTTCGCTGAGATTATATGTGTATGTTAGGGCTGTCAAAATAAAGTTCGAATTTTGAATATTCGTCGAATTAAATTCTAGGTGTAATTTTAGGTGTGCGTCAGTCAGCCTTATCAGTGGCGAACGAGATGTGATGATGATGATGTAAGAGTTGTTGTTGCGTTTGAATGTTTTTCTTAGCCTATCCAATTGAACCCATTTGATGCAGCGCTGATGCGTTGTACATTCAAAACATTGCAGAAATAGAGAAGCTCAATGCGATCTAAGTCAAAACCGTAACCAAGCCTTTCACACAGAAGGCATTTTCTCCGCTGTTTTCTATGTAAACAAGTGCTGGACGGACATATTTGACCACTTTTACACTCGGGTCTCGCAACAGAGAGCCACATGTTTAGTAATGTAAAGTAAAAGTGGGTTTGTGGGAGTTTTTCCATTCCACTGCATGTTTTTAAGCGCAAAAAAGTACTCTATCTGAAAGAACTCGTATTAAACTATTCATAAATATATGATGCTGTTTTGTTCATAATCGTTTATGCAATTTACAAAATTATATTTGATTTATAAACGTTAGTTTAAATGTTAAGCACTCTTTTGTACAGACAGTCATGTTATTTCATTGCTTTGAATAAACCATTTAAGGCAGTGCATTCATATTTTGCTAATTGCGCCCTCTTGTGGCCTCAGGAGACCTAACTGAAAATCATTTGAATATTAGTAATATTTACATATTTTAATTGAGTTTTTCAGCCGACAGCCCTATTGTATGTGGCTGTTGATGCAGAAATTGACTATTGAGATTAGAATGTTTCTTTAACACAAACCATCAGTTTTGTTGGAGAACAGCCCTGTCCTGCGTTCTACAGCGAGATCTTTGAGATGTGAGCGTTCTCCTGATCTCTCCGAGATCAAACTCACAGAGAACTGCATCTCTGAGGCTCTGCTGAAGACCTCCAGAGCCATACAGGACATCGACACGCTCCTATCGGACAGACCGTAGGCTAGACACACAGTTCCAGAAGAGCTTTCCAAAAACATTCCCCCAAAAATTGTGTGGTTTATGGATCAGGGAAATGGAAATGAGGAACTTATGAGGAAATATTTTCAGGAACTTCAAGCGCATTTCCCCCCCAATCCCCATTATTTTAATTCTCTCTCTCTCTCTCTCTCTCTCTCTCTCTCTCTCTCTCTCTCTCTCTCTATATATATATATATATATATATATATATAAAACATATTATTAAATATAATTATGTAAATATTTATATATTATAGTAGTATTTGTTATACTGCCTTTATTACTTTTAAGAATAATTATAATAAGAAAATTATGAAAAAATGTGCTTAATTGTACAAAAATGTCTGAGAAAAAAAAGGAGCAATAATTTAATTTTAACTTTTGATTTTGAGGTGAAATGTTACCTAGATATGTTTTAGCAAGATTCACCCCTTAAAACCATTGATTACATATTAATTTTCCTCAGTTTTGTTTCCATTTACTGTTTCATACACACACACACACACACACACACACGTCTTCCTTTTTCATTGTCACAGTTAAATTATATTTTTTAAGGTTTTGTTTAACATTATACTATGCAATATCATATCTGATTGTGATTGAAATGATTTATTAAAATATTGAAGTTCTCTTTGCCCTATAAATACATGTTTTTTATTCATTGAGTTAACTGAGTGTGTTTTTACACAAATCTTTATTTGTGTTCCGAAGATGAACGAAAGTCTGACGGGTTTGGAATGACATGAGGGCGAGTAATGACAGAATTTTCATGTTTGGATGAACTATCACTTTAAAGGGATAGTTCACTTTGAAATACATTTTTGGTATGTTTTAGCTTACCTCAAGGGCATCCAAGATGTAGGTGTCTTTGTTTCCGCAGTAGTTTCAATTTTGATATTTTTAGGTCGAACCGTTCTTGTCTGTCAGTCATATAATGCAGGTCTATGGTCACCACCTCAAAGAGCATGCACAGAGAAGTCCAAATTAAACATGATTTAATGACTCGTAAATGTAAGTACACATTGATGGCCTAAGACACGAAACGAGCGGTTTGTGTGAGAAAACGAACAGTATTTATATCGTTTTTACCTCTTGTAAACACAGCCACGTCCAAGTGATCTGAGGGCGCCGGCGCTTCGGTCTGTGCGTTACAAGAGGTAAAAACGATATAAATACTGTTCGTTTTCTCACACAAACCGCTCGTTTCGTGTCTTAGGCCATCAATGTGTACTTACATTTACGAGTCATTAAATCATGTTTAATTTGGACTTCTCTGTGCATGCTCTTTGAGGTGGTGACCATAGACCTGCATTATATGACTGACAGACAAGAACGGTTTGACCTAAAAATATCAAAATTGAAACTACTGCGGAAACAAAGACACCATATCTCGGATGCCCTTGAGGTAAGCTAAAACATACCAAAAATTTATTTCAAAGTGAACTATCCCTTTAAGCCGTTTAGGAGAAAGATAGAAAGTTTGTTTAGTCATCAGTTCTTGTGTATTTGCACGCTCCTTGAAAAGACTCATCAGACACACTAATAACCTAGTGGTAGTTGTTCCAGTGGTCATTATGTCGGTGAGTCCCACTTGTTTGCTCTAACAGTGATATTTGTGAAACACTGGTGTGGTGTTTTGAATTAGACTACTGACCTTTACACGCTGCTCGCCTAAACACCAGATATGTCAGTCTTGTTCGTATTAAAACCGTGATCTTATCATTGGCATTTAAACAACTGACCAGAGTTCGTGTTGTTTCTCTCTCTAAATGACTGTTCAAAGAATGAGACTAGTTTTAAGCCAATATTAAACCTGACCTCAGATCAGAGCTGTTATGCTCGATAGTGAAACCCTGGTTACACCTCTTCCTTATTAAAGTTATAGAAACTTGCATTTCCTTTGGGTGTATTTATGATTCTCACCAGACTGAGCCACTGTACTTCTACACACACATGTGCTGGCTAGGTGAGTTTGCAGAGAAATATTGCTGCTTTATTTAAATGAGTGTCTTTTATTTAGATTTTTCACTTTTCTGTTGATTTAGATTATCTGGATTATACTTGTGTAAGTGCAGTATATAAGAGCCTTCGTAGGAATAGAGGATTTTGTTATGTTTCTTATTATAATTGATAACTAGTTTGAAGATGTGACGGATAAGAAGTATACAATAATATTGATCATAAAGCTGCATTTTGAAGAGGCAGATTGCAGTATAAAAACTCACAGTGTCTTTCACGCTTGTCAATGTAAAGAGTGGCTAGTGTAAAGGCGGGACCCCAAAGGTGTGAATTTATTTATTATCTGTAGCCTGTTCAAGGAGGTTTGCTGCATTAATTATAATATATGGGATTATTCTAATAAATCTATTTTTCTTATTTTCTGGAGAAAATGAGTTGTTGACTGTGTACGACTCGCTACCACAATGCTTGGAGTGGTTGCTAAAGTGTTCAGAGTGGCTTTTAGTGTGTAAAGATTCTATAACACTGTAAAAAAATAGTTTTAACTTAAAGTAAATGTTCGTGCTGTCTTAAAATGTTAAGTTTAGTCAACTTGAAATGTTTTCAAATATTTACTAATTTTTTTATTCATGAATCCACATATACTAAATGAAGCAAGGGTTTAGAGTAGGGCTGTAGATTTGAGGAAAATGTCATATTGCGATTAATGAGGTCAATATTGCGATTGCGATATGCGATTGCGATATAATAAACAAATGGTTTCATGAGTCAACTTGCTTGGTTCTAAAGTAAAATGCACACACAGATTAGTGATCCTTCTGTGTATTAATGTGTATTTCTCAACTCAAACTAGCAACAACAACTAAATGATTGATAACACCTATAATGATAAATAAACCATTGATGTCTGAATAAAAATGACGACACCCCCCACATTTTAAACGTTAATTATAGCCATCCAACATTACAGTGATTCCATCAATACAATTGAAAGCTATCAACTTTTAAAATATTTATTAGGCTTAAAAAAAAAACAGCTTTTAAATTAAGTGAACTTCAAACAATCCTCACATAAACCCATAATAAATCCCATATTTACCTGTGCCCTTCCTGTCTTAACAGGTAGGATTGAGGATTTATATACAGATTTATATACAGAAATTGAATAAAGTTATCAAACAGTCTGCGCTGCATGAATTATAAATTATATATAGACTAATCCTTATTAAAGCTACAAAACTTCTTTAGTCAAGAGCAGTGAGTAATTTTCTGTTCCCTTTGTTCTTTGATTAACTTTACTGACGGAACGCTTTATTCGCTGCTGGCCCTTTAAGAGCAGCCGTTGCCGAGACGCGTATCTCACACGCGCCTCATTCTCTCACAAGCACAACTCTTTTCGTCCATCATAAGACTGCTCTTATGTTATGAAGATAATCGACAAAACGACATTTTGGCATAATTGTGTGTGTTATTGTTCGTTCAAGCTCGAAAGAGAACTGTATTCTGGCACGCGGTCTGTGCATGCGCATTATACTGGCGCGCGTTATTCTGTGAGTCACATTCAGGACATTCACAGGCACCGCGCTCTGACTTCTTGTCGTGCAAAATGGATTAAGGCATTTGCACGAAGAGCGGGATCATGTAAAACTAGTCAAAGGATGACAAAAAAGAAGAGATGCTGCGTTAATAGCCCTAATTTGTTTATTTCATATAAAATCGCGGCATTTTGCGTTATATAATCGCATAGGTTTGACATCGCGATTACGATTCCGATACGATTAATCGTGCAGCACTAGTTTAGAGTTACATTCAAGATATTGTAAGGCATGAAAAAAATTATTCAAGGAATTTTTTGTGATCAAAGATGAGTTTTAAGGGGTACAATTATTGTGTACAGGGGGACTTTAAATATATGGAAATTTCACAGGAAAAACATTTTTACACACGTGTTTTTAATGTTTATGTGTCTATGTGGTGTTTTTAATATGCTTTAAGACAAACCATGTGCAAATTCATGTCGACACCATTGCTGAGCATTTTCTCCTTAAACTGCACTGAACCAAAGACAGTCTCAAAAACGAGTGCGAGTGAGTGGAGGCGGGGATCATCTGCATGTTTATAGAACTGCGTAGACTAAATGAGGCAAGGGTGTAGAGTTACATTCAAGCTGTTTTAAGGCATGAATACTTTTTTTTCAAGGAATTCTTTTTAAATATGTCATTTTGGTGATCAACGATGAGTTTTAAGGGATACCATTATTGACTACAGGGGGACTTTAACTAACATTAACATGTACATTTGTGCATTGACTAATGTTAACAAATGAGACTTTATTGTACAGTGTTACCAATGCTTCTTTAATATTTGACTTCTTTTAGGCCACATTCACTAATCTACAATGTCCAACTTTAACTCACTGGTTGGTCAAAGGAAGTTTTCCCAACCTAATCAGAGCAATCAATTCAGGAGCACCAGCACTGAGGACCGGAATCCACTGTTGATTCCCAAGCCGGTGAAACTCAAACCTGTGGACATGCAAAAAGGCGCAGGCTCCAGGCCTTTCCCTAAACCACTCATGGTCAAGCCCAACTTTACAGTCAACTCTTTAGAGACTAGATTCAATCCTCCTGTTTTTAGCAACGGACCCAATAGTGTCTCCAGAAGGGATGCTGTTGGAGCGACGCTGCCCAATAGAGAACAACAGGAGAACTCGTATACAGAACCCCCTCCTTCAGGAGCCGGACCCTGGACTCCTGCCAAACCATCTGTTATGCAGAAACATGTGTTTCATAAAGACATCTCTGCAGGACCGGGAACTACTGATGATTTGTCAGTGCCAAAAAAGAAGCCTCTCCCCAATGTGTTTGCTTTAGGAAAGTGTCCTGCCAAACCAGAGAGACCTCCACATGTTAACCTCAACAAGTTCAGAGGGAACGGTAAGACATGGACATCCATGATGAAGCTTAATCTGATGTGTGTTCATTCAGATTCATGCATGGGTTCATTCTTTTTAAATGCCTGGAATTATGTGAGTACAACCGAAATACAGTGTCAATAAGATTTTGGACACTTGCACAACTGTTTAAACGTTTGGGGTCAGTAAGATTTTTTTTAATGCTTTGTGAAAATTCTCTTATGCTCATCAAGGCTGTATTTATTTGATTAAAATTACAGTAAAAACAGCAATATTGCAAAATATTATGATTTAAAATAGCTGTTTTCTATTTAAATATATTTTCAAATGTAATTTATTCCTGTGCTGCAAAGCTGCATTTCAGCATCATTACTCCAGTCTTTCATTCTGATATGCTGATTTGCTGCTCAAGAAATATTTATTATTATTTTCAATGTTGAAACATTATTTGCAGAAAACTTTAGAAATTTCAAAAGAATAGCAATTATTTGAAATAGAAATCTTTTTTTTTACATTTTTGCTGTCACTTTTGATCAATTCATTGTGTTCCTTGAAGAATAAAAGTATTAATTTCTTAATACTTAATTAATTTAATTAATTGAAAAAAGTTACTGACCCCAAACTCTTGAACTTTATTTTAAATCACTTTCAAATGTCTAAATGTCATTGCATTAAATAACAAAATGTCAAAAAATGAATACATTCCACACAATTTTTAAGATACTAGAATAATAATAATAAACAACAACCACATTTTACTTTAAAAATAAAGACAAAAAATTATGTTGCATAAAGAAAATGAATCCTTCAGTAGGACAATTCAGGATGCATTCATAAAGTGTGACTCAAATGTCCAAACACTTTTTTGGACCTACCATATTATCTAAACATCCAAAATCCATTTCCCTGAGCTTTGAAATATAACCTATATTTTAAAAAAGAGATTACATTTACAGACTAATAGACAATGCAGTGTCTAACTGTTTAGTTTTTGTCGTTTCATGTTCTGGTTCCATCAGCTGGTTCATCAGTATCCAACGCCAATAATCCTGAGTTTGATCCTGGAATTTTCCCCCTCCCACCGCCACCTGATGAATGCCTGTCAATCACATCTATGACTCCACCCCCACCGCCACCTGAACACCTGTCAATCACATCTATGACTCCACCCCCACCGCCAGACTTCACACTTCCACCTGCTCCCCCTCCAACGTGAGTGCTGACTTTATGAGTGTGTTAAAAACAAATCTGGAAATACATACAACATCACAATACGATAAAAAAAAGTGTGTCATGAAATAATAATTAGCCTATACTATTAATTAGTTAAATTCTTGGGACATGGTACTATAGCAGTACCATGAGGATTTAGCAGTGAAATACACTGTAAAAATCGATTTTTTATAAGAAAGTACTATTTCAGTCTTTCTACTTTAAAATTTCATATTTAATTCACTGTTCCTTGTTTCCTTGAATTATTTGTGAAATTTACTAGCAATTTCTGAGTAAAAATTGTTACAAAGTAAAGCCTACACCATTTGTGTGTGTGTGTGTACGTTTACACCTTGACATTTAAATACCATGGTACATGAATATGGTATAGTTAGAATTCATAATTTCAGAGTAATTTCATGGTACCACTGCTGTACTGTGAGGTAATGCAATAGTACAATTGCATGTATTATCATTAATACATAGATGTGAAGCAGAAATTCTTGTTTTTTACTGTTTGTTCTGTTGTAAACAGGGATCAGACTTTCCAGGAGGATTTGTATGATGATACGGACACCATGAACAGGACACCGACTTCCCTAGGTCTTCAAAGAGAAGTTATATAAATGAGCTTCAAATTAACGTTTGACACATACAGTAACCAAGTAAATGTTTGGCTACATAATATCTTAATGTCATTGCATTAGATTACAAAATATCAAAGACATTGACCTTATTTTTAAAAAAAAAGCACATGCAAGCATCACATGAGATGACATTTCTAGGCGTTACTTTAATATTATTGCTGGATTTTTTAGGTTTTCTTTTTTTCAAAGTCTGTAAACAACTCTCTTTTGTGTTTTAGGTAAAAGCAGCAATGACCATGAGGTAAGGATCGTGTTTGCGTAAGCTGACATCTTGTGGAGAGCTGTTTTAAATAACATTTCGCTTCTGCAACACTTGGTAAAAATAGTCTGCAAAAGAAAGTCTGCAAAAGAACCAGCATCTCAAAAGGAAATGAAGCTTTACCAAGACGAAAGAAAATGATTGTGAAAATGAAACACTGCATTTTTAAGATTAGTTCATTATCTTTTACTGTCTCTTGTTTGTTTCTTGTGTGTAGGAATCGGGTGAGGAGATATACGAGGATCTTGACCACAACCAGTGAGATCTCTTATTTAATTGTGGTTGCTATGTCAAACATTATTATTACTCAAACTTAGAATTAGTGATTTGAACAAACCCCTTAACCAAAATATAAAAGACATAGTTCATGGTATGCGAGTGTACAAAGTCTTGATTTTGTTTTTGGGGTCTTTCTTTTCATGCTTGAATGTTCAAAAAAAACAAATAATTTTTCACATATTTGACACTGTTGCAGCTCCCCTCTTTCCAGTCTGTCAGTAACGCTCTGTTTAGTTGAGCTGAAGTCTCTATGAAGCCCCTCCTTCTGAAAAGCTCAATGTGCTCTGATTGGTCAGCTGGACCAGTGTGTTGTGATTGGTCGACCGCTTTGTGTGTTTTGGTAATGTCATGCCCCTCACCATAACACATCTCAATCAAGCCTCGTCCCGTTTATTTTAAGTATGCCTTGGGTGGGAATTATTTAAAGGTGAACTAAGTAACTTTTTTACCTTAACCGAACAGCTTTGGAGTCATTGTAATGTTTATATTACTGATTTCGTGTTGAATGGTGGTCGTCTCGCACCCCCCTGGTGCCTGTGAGCCGCAAAACCACCCTTGCAACTTTGGGCCGGCGAGCCGCCCAATGTCTAGATGTCTCGTCCGCGCTGCTGGCCAATGGAGGTCGACGTCAGCACCTTGCGGCCATCTTGTCACAGGCAGCTCACTCACTCGTAGCATTGTGTTAATGGTGCATTTTTTTTATTTATTTTTTATTTAACCTTTCTTTAACCAGGAAAGTCATGTACTTTTTAAATAACCATAACTTGCTCAATTTTCTACCGATTTTCAAACGGTTTGGTTTGTTATAAACGTCAGAGATGTAGTTATGATACTAGACACTTATGAAAAATAAGTGTATAAATAAATAATCAACCAGAATTATACAGCCACGTTAATAACGTTTGTAAGAAACCAAACCGTTTGAAAATCCATCAAGATTTCAGCAAGATAAGAGTATTTGTGTTCTTCTCACCATACATCACTCAGTACCACAGAGCCCGCCAGAAAGCTTGCCTGTGACAAGATGGCCGCCGGTGATGACGATAGAGACTCTGCTGTAAGACATCTAGCCTTTATTATGGATATCTATGCGTCAAACAGAAATAACCCGGCGCGTATACATGTGGTGTTGGGCGCGCACAGCTCTTAAAGGGGCCATACCTTATTTCCACTCGTTACAGCGTCCATCCTACTGAACAGGTACCGGTGTACAGGGGGAGGGGATCCGGCCGTGAGTGCGAGCCATCTCTGCGTGAGTGCTATTCACGACAGTACAAGTACTCCACAGTGACTCTAGGGGTCGCTGTTTGACAAAAACGGAATTCCTACTTAGTGCTGCTTTAATTGAGTAATATATTGTGACGTGTTCGTTCCCGGAAGAAAACTGAAGACTACAATGGATTTCAGGGAGTTTAGAAATGGTGCACATTGATAGAGAGAACAACTGCCGCTGGAGTGACTTTGTGCTTTGTAAGTTTGTAGACATGTAAAAAAAACTTTTTAAACAGCATTAAACAGAAGTTGCAATAGCCTTTTCTTCCCTATTGTGATGTATATCCGAGTGAAATGACTTTTCAAACAAGAACAAATGTAGGGCGGGACTTGATTTTGTCCATGGGGAATTGATTGGATGGTTGTGGTTTGCTATTGGTGCATCTCATGTGAGTGACAGGTGGCCCCGCCCTCACGCCAGTAAACACATCATCAGAGAAGAGATTTTTCATTAGAGAAGTAATTTTCCACAAACTTGTGAACCATCACCCATCGTAATAGCAAGTTCTGCATCGACAAATGCCACTCACATTTTCTTCAGGACATCTAGTTACTCTTTAGCAAAGGCTGCAATTAATTTGGTCTCAAATTTTAATATGATTAATGAAATAAAAGAAGAAAGAATACTTACTCAAAACTCTTCTAATGGAAAACTTTCCTCTACTACACAGGCCTGAAGACAACAAAGAAACGACGGAGGAAAAGACGACAAAAGAATCAAAAGAACTTAAGAAAAAGCTCGAAAAAGAAGAGAAGAAACGCTTGGAGCAGGAGAAGAAAGAGAAGAAAGAGCGAGAGAAAAGGCAGCAGGAGGCCAAGAAAAAGTTTAAAGTGATTACAAACAGCTCAATGCTGGATATCACTGTTTTGATATTATGTGGCAGTAAGGGTTTTTTATTTTCACGAATCTCATAAAACCTGTCAAGAACATGCCTGGAGGAGACACATTTCACTTCTAAATCAAAATTATATTTCAGATTAGAAGATATTTTTTTAGGATTATGACATTATTTTTTATAATCATAAAGAATCATATTTTTTCTCCATAATCTTAGGAGTATTTGCTTTGATATAAATTACTTGGTTCATGCTGATTTTAAAAATCAAAAATCATTTTTTTTTTTTACAAAAAATAGAACTTGTGGATAGAAATCGTTCTTAATTTGACTTATTAAGTTTGTGTGTGTGTGTGTGTGCGCTAGGGTGTTCTGGGTGGTTGCTATGGTGTTGCTAAAGTATTCTGGGTGGTTTCTAGGCAGTTGCTAGGGTATTCTGGGAGGTTGCTGGGTGTTCTCGGTGGTTGCTATTGTGTTGCTAGGCGGTTTGCTTGGGTATTCTGGGTGGTTGCTAGGATGTTCTGGTGGTTTCTAGGCAGTTGCTATAGTGTTCTGGGTGGTTGCTAGGGTATTTTTGTTGGTTGCTATGGTGTTACTAGGTGGTCGGTAGTTGTCACAGATGGTTACAATGGAGTTTTAATAGAGTTCTTAAAATCTTTAGTAACGAGTGCCTTTAGTACGGCGTGTGTGTGTGTGTGTATTGGGATTTACCCATACATAGACATTAAGTAGCCTAACTGGAATTTTTTTGTGTTTATAAACTATAAGCACGTGGAAACTTCACCATCACTGTAATCTCTGCTTGGATAGATCAAGGATATGACTGTGGTAGTTGACACAGTGAAGGCCAGAGTGGACCACAAAGGTGGGAAGAACAAACTTCCACTGAAGCAGGGAGAGACCATTGAAATTGTGCGCAAAACAGAAAACCCGAAGGACTACTGGCTCGCCAGGAACACTGAAGGCCACTGTGAGTTCATTGCCACACTGCACTGGATTACACACAACACATATGCTGATATTCTAATATATGCTGATATGTCCTGTTAAACTGAACATGCTCAGTCTACACTCACCTAAAGGATTATTAGGAACACCTGTTTAATTTTTCATTAATGCAATTATCTAATCAACCAATCACATGGCAGTTGCTTCAATGCATTTAGGGGTGTGGTCCTGGTCAAGACAATCTCCTGAACTCCAAACTGAATGTCAGAATGGGAAAGAAAGGAGATTTAAGCAATTTTGAGCGTGGCATGGTTGTTGGTGCCAGACGGCCCGGTCTGAGTGTTTCACAATCTGCTCAGTTACTGGGATTTTCACGCACAACCATTTCTAGGGTTTACAAAGAATGGTGCGAAAAGGGAAAAACATCCAGTATGCGGCAGTCCTGTGGGCGAAAATGCCTTGTTGATGCTAGAGGTCAGAGGAGAACGGGCCGACTGATTCAAGCTGATAGAAGAGCAACTTTGACTGAAACAACCACTCGTTACAATCGAGGTATGCAGCAAAGCATTTGTGAAGCCACAACACGCACAACCTTGAGGCGGATGGGCTACAACAGCAGAAGACCCCACCGGGTACCACTCATCTCCACTACAAATAGGAAAAAGAGGCTACAATTTGCAAGAGCTCACCAAAATTGGACAGTTGAAGACTGGAAAAATGTTGCCTGGTCTGATGAGTCTCGATTTCTGTTGAGACATTCAGATGGTAGAGTCAGAATTTGGCGTAAACAGAATGAGAACATGGATCCATCATGCCTTGTTACCACTGTGCAGGCTGGTGGTGGTGGTGTAATGGTGTGAGGGGTGTTTTCTTGGCACACTTTAGGCCCCTTAGTGCCAATTGGGCATCGTTTAAATGCCACGGCCTACCTGAACATTGTTTCTGACCATGTCCATCCCTTTATGGCCACCATGTACCCATCCTCTGATGGCTACTTCCAGCAGGATAATGCACCATGTCACAAAGCTCGAATCATTTCAAATTGTTTCTTGAACATGACAATGAGTTCACTGTACTAAAATGGCCCCCACAGTCACCAGATCTCAACCCAATAGAGCATCTTTGGGATGTGGTGGAACGGGAGCTTCGTGCCCTGGATGTGCATCCCACAAATCTCCATCAACTGCAAGATGCTATCCTATCAATATGGGCCAACATTTCTAAAGAATGCTTTCAGCACCTTGTTGAATCAATGCCACGTAGAATTAAGTCAGTTTTGAAGGTGAAAGGGGGTCAAACACAGTATTAGTATGGTGTTCCTAATAATCCTTTAGGTGAGTGTATATTTGACTGAATCATCCTGTTTGTCTCTTCCTCGTTGACTAGCCATGTTCAGATGCTATTATTGTTGTGTTTTTCAATATAGATGGTTTTGTGAAGCCTGACACTCTAGATGTGCGTGGTGAAGTGAGACACACACAGGATGGACAGGAGGTGTATGATGATGTGGGTGGTGCTGGTGATGAACTCAATAAGTAAGAGAGTAACTAGTACACTTATTTAGATTATTAACATTATTGAGGTTAATTTATTATTTATGTTTTAACAAAACAAAAAAAAACATCTATTTTTTTCAGTCTACCAGATGGTAAGCCATTGCATTATACATTTAATAAATATAAATGAAAATAACATTGCAATCATTTACTGAGTGTCAAGTGAAGGAAGCGTAAAAGGATATAATTATTTTTTTTGTTTCCCCTTGTTCACAATTTTGTCATGTGACTACTGACAGCAGTTGAATGTGATGATGATATTTATGATTGTGCAGAAGATCCTCAAGCTGATTTCAGGTGAGTTCAAAAGCTCTTAATATTTCACAAAAACCAGTAGGCTATATGCATCTAAGCAATCAATTACAGCACTTTTCAGCTTTTTCTGTTTGATTTTAAAAAAATCTTTTTAAACCTTGATTCTCTTTTATAGTACTTTTATAGTTTTTGTATATATATATATATATATAGTGTGTCTGTGTACGGAAGCGTATTGCATTCACTTGAGGAAAAAAAAATCTACTCTGTTTTCTGAATTAACGAGTTAATTATCTCAGAATTACAAGATAATTTTCATGAAAAAAGTTTTTGCTCTGTTTTTCTGAATTAACGAGTTAATTATCTCAGAATTATGAGATACATTTTTCTTGAAAAAACATTTTTTTCACCCTGTTTTTATGAATTAATGAGTTACTCATAATTTTTAGATAATTAAGTCATTAGTTCAGAAAAACAGAGCAAAAACCTTTTTCCATGAAAAATTATCTTTGTTTTTCTGAATTAACGAGTTAATTATCTCAGAATTACGAGATATTTTTTCATAAAAAAAGGTTTTGCTCTGTTTTTCTGAATTAACGAGTTAATTATCTCAGAATTACGAGATAATTTTCCATGGAAAAAAAGTTTTTGCTCTGTTTTTCTGAATACATTTTATGAATACATTTTCTGAATACATACGAGTTAATCTCAGAATTATGAGATACATTTTTCTTGAAAAACATTTTTTTCACTCTGTTTTTATGAATTAATGAGTTACTCATAATTTTGAGATAATCAAGTCATTAATTCAGAAAAACAGAGCAAAGACTTTTTTCCATGAAAAATTATCTTGTAATTCTGAGATAATTAACTCGTTAATTCAGAAAAACAGAGTAGATTTTTTTTCCTCAAGTGAATGCAATACGCTTCCATATTTGTGTGTGTGTGTGTGTGTGTGTATTCCTGTGATGGTAAATCTGAGTTTTCAGCATCATTACTCCAGTGTCAAATGATCCTTCAGAAACCATTATATTATGCTGATTTATTAATCTTGAAAACAATTGTGCTGCTAAATATTTTTATGGAAACTGGGATACATTTTTTTTCAGGATTATTTGATCCAGCTTTAATTTGAAATAGAAATCTTTTATAATATTATAAGTATATTTACTGACACTTTTGATCATGCATCCTTGCTTGCTGAATAAAAGTATTATTAACCAAATTAAGCAAATTATTGAAATCAACATGTATCTCTAAATTTAGGAGATTTGAGCTTATGTATAATAAATGCATATTGTTTGTATAACAATAAATACATGTTATTGTATTTTAAATTATATTAAATAATGTTTAAAATGTATCTTAAACATATATTTGTAAATAAATACACATTACTGGTTTCATATAAAAAAAAAACACTAATCTCTGCAGCTTTCACTTAGGTAGGTGACAGTCTAAAGTTTTTTTTTAGAACAAATATTATTTAAATCAGCTTTAACCTTTGTGAAGTGCATATGGATTAACTGACAGTTTTCTGTCATTTCGCAGCTTCCTGCCTCCACCCCCTCCTGACTTTGAATTTAATGTTGTGGGTGAGTAATACTCACTTTAACTGTACATTAATATAATATTAATTTAGTTCATAATCTAATAGCACTGTGTTTCATTTAACATTTAGAAATGCAGTAACTGTAATGGTTGCTCACTCCTATTTAACAGGAACTCCTGTTCATGAAGCTTAAACTGTAGAACATAGGTTTGATTGCCTGGGAATGCATGATCAAATGAAGTGCAAATCATATCTTGGATGCAGTGTAATTCACTTTGGATGAAAGCATCTGCCAGGTGCATTAATGTAAATGTAAATGCTCCTCCCAGAAACCCCTGAGATGGTTTTGGTTTATGCCCAGCAGATGCCGCTGATGACGCGTATGATGACACGTATGATGATGTGACTGCAACAGACTTCCCTCCACCTCCTTCTCCTTGCAGGTTACTTCATACATGTTACAAAAGAAGAACAGCTGACACCAATGTTCATCGACATGTTGTTTTAGGAGGCCGTCCATTTAATGAGAATTGGCAACGAGGTCACTTTAAGATCGGTGACTATAAACGTTGGCCTTTTACCTCAAGACCTGCATGGTCTATAATTTAAATTCCCATTTTCCTTGGATCCTTGAGTTTTGGAGCGTTCAAGTTCTCTAGTGAAGTTCATATTTATGAGTTGTGAAGTCGTAATTGAGACTTAAAGGGTTAGTTCACCCAAAAATGAAAATTATGTCATTAAAGGGATAGTTCACTTTGAAATAAATTTTTGATATGTTTTAGCTTACCTCAAGGGCATCCAAGATGTAGGTGTCTTTGTTTCCGCAGTAGGTTCAATTTTGATATTTTTAGGTCAAACCGTTCTTGTCTGTCAGTCATATAATGCAGGTCTATGGTCACCACCTCAAAGAGCATGCACAGAGAAGTCCAAATTAAACATGATTTAATGACTCGTAAATGTAAGTACACATTGATGGCCTAAGACACGAAACGAGCGGTTTGTGTGAGAAAACGAACAGTATTTATATCGTTTTTACCTCTTGTAACCACAGCCACGTCCAAGTGATCTGAGGGCGCGGGCGCTTCGGTCTGTGCGTTACAAGAGGCAAAAACGATATAAATACTGTTCGTTTTCTCACACAAACCGCTCGTTTCGTGTCTTAGGCCATCAATGTGTACTTACATTTACGAGTCATTAAATCATGTGTAATTTGGACTTCTCTGTGCATGCTCTTTGAGGAAGTGACTGTAGACCTGCATTATATGACTGACAGACAAGAACGGTTTGACCTAAAAATATCAAAATTGAAACTACTGCGGAAACAAAGACACCTACATCTTGGATGCCCTTGAGGTAAGCTAAAACATATCAAAAATGTATTTCAATGTGAACTATCCCTTTAATGACTCACCCTCATGTCGTTCCAAGCCCGTAAGACCTCCGTTCATCTTCGTAACACAGTTTAAGATATTTTAGATTTAGTCCGAGAGCTTTCTGTCCCTCCATTGAAAATGTATGTACGGTATACTGTCCTTGTCCAGAAAGGAAATAAAGACATCATCAAAGTAGTCCATGTGACATCAGTGGGTTAGTTAGAATGTTTTGAAGCATCGAAAATACATTTTGGTCCAAAAATAACAAAAACTACGACTTTATTCAGCATTGTATTCTCTTCCGGTTCTGTTGTGGATCCACGTTCAGTGACGCTGCTGACGTAAGACGCTACTGACGTGTATCTAATGTAAAAAAAATCATGTTTGTATCTTTTTATTTTCTTGTTCACTGCAGCAATCGAAAGCTCAGCTCAACAAGCGAGACAAACTTGATGGACCCAAAGAAAAGGAAAAAGTTTGAGAAGGAGGAAAAAGAGTTTAGGAAGAAGTTCAAAGTAAGACACACACTATATTGGCGGCTGGTGTGGAAGCGGTCAGTGAAATGATTCTGTATACTAACCCTCTTACTGCCTCTTCTTGCAGTATAATGCAGAAATCAAAGTGCTTTATCAAGCTACTGTTCTCCCATCACTGTCTATGAAGAAGTTTGGTAATAAAGACCTGCCGATTAAACCCGGAGAAATGATTGATGTGATAGTTCACCCTGTAGATGACAAACTCATCTGCCGAAACAGTGAAGGGAAATGTGAGTTGATTGAGGATATAATATCTGTGCTGAGATGCACATTACAGCCGAATAGGAAACTGTTATTAAATAGTCTCTCTCTGTTTCAGTTGGCTATGTGTCTACTGCTAATTTGGAGCAGTAAGTACAGTCTTTTTGTTCAGTTCTATTTCTATTCTGGTGCATCTTTTTGCATGTAAATATTTTTCTTTCTTTTACACCAGTCAATAGCTACAGTTTTTGCTTTTTTTAAGCACCCCTGACTCATTTAATATGCCTAAATAGTTGTAAATATTAGTGAATTTTGAGTCAATATTGTGTACAATTCAGCAATACCATCAGCCACCCTTTCTCTCTTGATATTAAAATAGTTTCGGCTGATGAGTTGACCACAACTTCATATTTTTTGTCTCACTTCCTCTCCTCTCTAAGGGACGGATCTGTTTATGATGATGTTGGTAATGGTAAGGTTTAACTTGCACAGGCACAGTTGATGAATTTGTATGTTTACATCCTTTTACTGCAATTAATTGTTTCTACTTTATCCTGTATGTTACAGAGTGCATCTACGACAATGATTAAGCACGGATCAACTCAGCATGTTTTCATCACTTTAAACATCCTTATCGATCCTTTCACAAAAACAATGTTTTATCATTGTTTGAGAATGATATATAGTGAATATTATACATTGTATATACACAGTAACCTCAGTAAGAATAAAATAATGTGATAAAAAAACTGTAAACATGTCCTTTCTTTCATGAATTGAATGTTTTGCTCTAACAACTTTAACTAAAATGTAAAAATGTACAACAGTGAAGCGGCATTTTAATTAAAATGTACATTTAAAATAAAAATGTCCACATACATATGACACCCCAAGCCATCCAAAAAGAAGTTTTAACGATGGAAAAAACTAAACATGTGCGCTTGAGACTGAATGGTAAAAAAGTTTATAATATTATTCTACATATAATAATGTTATAATATTTTAACGAACCCCGAACCTATAATAAAACATAGTGTGTATATATATTATAATTCAATAAGTGTTAGCTTTTAGAGCATTTTCTGACGCCCAAGATAATGAAAGAAAAAGTAAACCTCGCGAGAGTTTACGAGAGTTCCGGTGTGTTGTGATGATGAACGTCCCTGCCAACATGGCGGTCAGCATCCGCGGCCGTCCGACCCGGAGTGTACGGATGAGAGGCAAGTTAACGGCACCCACACCCCCGTCACCATGCGCAGCCTGCTCTGATTAAATCCCTCCGCTTGTGCAGTTTCCGTTAAGCCTCGGATAAGGGATTACTATGTCTTCATTGTGTCGTTTTTTGTGTTTGACAGGTCGGAATGACAGCGGGGAGGAGAATGTACCGCTGGATCTTACGCGGGGTGAGAGTCATCATAGAGATCACAAGGAACATCTTATTAGTGTCTTTCTGTAATAATAACAACCAGACCATTAACAAATCCCCCTTAAATTCAAGAAATTAGCAATAATAATTTCCCATCTCCTCTCTGGCCTGCAGACAGGAGAATGAGACTGAATAAGATGTTGTCTGTCTCAAAAACTAATGGGTTTCCTTAATAGACTGCATTTTTTTTTGCGCCTGTGAAGTCCCAAATAATATGCTGTCTAGCTAGGCAGCTCACTAGGATTTGGGACCTAGCTGTTGTTTAGATCTGTAATGCACAACCCCATTAGTTTGTGTTGTCCAGTTAGTAAGCATCTGCATGTCAGCAGATTAACTGCAGTGCATTTAGCTCGGTTAGGCTGTCGTGTTTTTGTCATGTTGTAAACAAACATGCGTCATGATGCCTCCATATCTGCGTATGCTGCCTTATAATTGTTTTTTTTTAAGGTTTCATTCTCTGATTCATGTAATCTGGTGGGTATTAAATGCATAAAGTCTTTGACTAGCCTTATCTTGATGAAACTTGCAGTGACATCTCTCTTGAGAAATATACTATTTAAAGACTAATATCTTGTATATGCAAAAAATCACTCGTACAAGATCCTGAGAGGTTTTCTCTGAGTTCTGCACAGGGGAAATTATGCTTCATAGTACATACGGTGATAAAATATATTTACATTATATTGTAGTTTTATGAGTTTTTGAAGAATATAAACAAATTAAATAAACATTATAAACATATTTTTCAGTTGCACTAAAATATCTGATATATTATGTTCCACTGGCTATTAAACTTATTTTGTTTTTAAGGATTTTAATTTGATTGTTTATGCTTTCCACAGAACCCTCAGATAACCTGCGTGAGATCCTTCAGAACGTTGCCAAATCTCATGGGGTTTCCAACATGAGGAAGCTCGGCCACCTGAACAATTTTGTCAAGGTTGTGCAACTTTTACTTATGCTGGTTGTCGTATGATTTCAGCTATGAGAAAAGATCAAGACTAGGTCTTGCACTGAAAATACTACAAAATAGTAAATGTAAACATGGTAGAATGTGTTAAATGGAGCTTAGAATACTTAACTTACCAACTGCCGAAAGCAAATTTCCCAAAAATACTTGCAATGACTTGGCATCAATTGGCTTCCTGGTCAGGTCAATACAATACAAAGTAATATTTTTATTGCAGGATTAACAGAGTTGTATTAGTACGGGTAACATAATTTGTAATTGTTTAATAAAAGAAAAAGAAAAAAACGTCAATTAAAGCGATCTGGTTGTTATATACATGTCACATGAGTTCAACAGCGCTGCAAATGTGTCTATTTACAACGGGATAATTAGAGGTTTTGCCAGCATACAGAATTCAGCACTGAACAAAAAAGTCAGTTTTGAGCGGTGAGGGGAGTCTATCTTAACTGCTTCTGATTGGCCATTGCGTTCAAGAAATCAACACATATGTCTGTGATTGGCTATATCGCTCAACGCTGCAAACATGTTATGAATAGAAATTCTGGCCTGTAAATCGTTTCTATTTTGTTTTAGTAGAGTGAGTGCAACAGCTTTGGAGTCATTGTAATGTTTATATTACTGATTTCGTGTTGAATGGTGGTCGTCTCGCATCCCCCTGGTGCCTGTGAGCCGCAAAACCACCCTTGCAACTTTGGGCCGCCGGCCTAAGTGTTAGGAAGTATCGTGTGATATCAGGTCTCGCGAGGTAATGAATTGCTTTACGGCAAAAAACAGATCTGATAAAATTCTGATAAAATGAGCATCAAACAGAAATAACCCGGCGCCGTATACATGTGGTGTTGGGCGCGCGCAGCTCTTAAAGGGGCCACACCTTATTTCCACTCGTTACAGCGTCCATCCTACTGAACAGGTACCGGTGTACAGGGGGAGGGGATCCGGCCGTGAGTGCGAGCCATCTCTGCGTGAGTGCTATTCAAGACAGTACAAGTACTCCACAGCGACTCTAGGGGTCGCTGTTTGACAAAAACTAATTTCTACTTAGTGCTGCTTTAAACCTGGAGTTTTCGCACTCAGTGAGTGGGTGCGAATTATTTAATACATATTTAATACATAAAATGTATTAAATGAAGCGCTTTTTACTCGCTGGCTGTCTGTTAGGGAGTTGAGATGCTAATGAGCAAATAAGTGCTCCTCTCTCGCCATCTACTGGTTATAATGGTAATTATGTGTCTTTTTTTTTATCTTTAATTTTAAAATAAGTGTTTGTATTTCACCAAGTGTTTGTTTTCGGAGAATATTTGGAGGATGAACAAAAAAATTTTTTTGGTCATCACATTTAAATTGGATAATATTCAGACTTTAAGCTTGAGCTTTAAGTGCTGTGGGTGTTGTCTATCTTGGGCGCCCTCCTCTCACTTTCTTTCTGAGTGTGTGTGTGTGGTCCATCTTGGGTGCCCTCCTCTCACTTTCACTTTCTTTCTGAGAGAGTGTGTGTGTGTGTGTGTGTGTGTGTGTGTGTGTGTGTGTGTGTGTGTGTGTGTGTGTGTGTGTGTGTGTGTGTGTGTGTGTGTGTGTGTGTGTGTGTGTGTGTGTGTGTGTGTGTGTGTGTGTGTGTGTGTGTGTGTGTGTGTGTGTGTGTGTGTGCCGTGGGTGTGTGGGTGTTGTCTATCTTGGGCGCCCTCCTCTAACTTTCTTTCTGAGTGTGTGTGTGTGTGTTGTCCATCTTGGGTGCCCTCCTCTCACTTTCACTTTCTTTCTGAGAGAGTTTGTTGTGTGTGCCGTGGGTGTGTGGGTGTTGTCTATCTTGGGCGCCCTCCTCTCACTTTCTTTCTGAGTGTGTGTGTGTGTTGTCCATCTTGGGTGCCCTCCTCTCACTTTCACTTTCTTTCTGAGAGAGTTTGTTTTGTGTGTGTGGGTGTGTGTGTGTGTGTGTGTGTGGGTGTTGTTTATCTTGAGTTTCATCTCAGTGTGACAGAGGTTAAAACTTAAGACTGTTAGTGCAGTTAGTATGTGTGCAGTTTTTCATGTGTTTAAATGTTGTGTGTGTTTAAGTGTTTCTTTGCTGAATAATAACTCAAGCGGTGTGTGTGCATGAATACCGTGTATGGCCTTTTAAGGATGCTGAGATAGAGGCGATGTAATCCTCTCCGAGGGTCACACGACCCCTTCAGACTTCCTGAGCTCTGACATCATCATAAACACATGCACAGCCTGCCAAGGTCATCACACTACTGCTCAGTAACACACACAGACATCTTTAATAGACACAGCACACTTAGTTTACACTGTAAGATCAGCTTAGTGCAATTGTTGATGTGTCTGTCTTACATTTTATTGTTGGGTTCAGTTTATGAAGCTCATCATTACCATCATTTGAAAAAGGAAGAATTTTAAAGAATATTATACGGGTGTATTTTCTTTCCTGGATGCTTATTGGTCAAAACCGTGTTCCAGTTGCACTAAAATACCCCAAAATTTTAGAACTTATTAACTTTGTTTGTAAGTCAGAAACTAGATCTAGTTCTAATGCAATGTTGAAACTAATCAAAATAATGTTGTAAGGAAAATCCTTTTTCTTTTCTTTTTTATTCTGTTTTATACTCATTTTGTGTCTGACAAATCCTTTTAACATTGACTTATAATATTGCTTAATATTATTACCTTTGTTGGTACTTATTTATCAAAAATTAAAGGGTTCTGGATGATCCATGTTCAAAGCGGTTCTAAATATACACTACCGTTCAAACGTTTGGGGTCAGTCATTTTTTTATGTTTTTGAAAATCTCTAATTCTCACCATGGGTGCATTTATTTGATCAAAAATACAGTAAAAAAAAAAAGTAACATTGTGAAATATTATTACAATTCCGGATTCTTTGATTATTACAATTCCAGATTCTTTGATTAATAGAACGTTTAAAAGAAAAATAAATATTTAGTAAAATTGTAACATTGTCGTTACTGTCACTTTTGATCAATTTAATCGGTTTTTGCTGATTAAAAGTAGTAATTTCTTTTGAAATAACAAACTTTTAAACGGTAGTGTATTCTGTGAAATCTATATGCATATATAAATGCATATATATGCATATAACTATAAATTTGTGATAAGTACTATTAAACATATTGAACATTGAAATCAAGGATTTGAATGTTAATAAATATAATGTCTCTCTCTCGTTCTCTCTTAGCTCCTGAACAGTGTAAGTCACTGTGAAGAGAAATTAGGATTTACACATGAGGAAATCATCATTTGGTAAGTTGAACAGTAGAACTTTCTCTTATTCTGTTCCAGTAGCTGGTCAGTGACAACATCCATCATAGACAACATCCATCATGGAATCTCACAGATGAATGATTTGGTGCACTCTTCTGGTGTTTCTCATTCTGTCTTTGTCGTTTTAGTCTGCGTGTGGCATTGCTGAATGAGGTGAAGGAGGTTCGGGCTGCAGGTTTGAGAGCGCTGAGGTATCTGATCTGTGACAGCAGCATCCTCCAGAAGGTTCTTCAGCTGCAGGTGGATTACCTGATCTCCAGGTGAGCTCGCACACCTGCTTAACTTTCTCAGTGTCTTCACCAAACAGAGACCATGTAGATATCCTACTGCCTTATGTCGTGTTTTTGTCTGAGATTTGTGAAATGATTTGCTCGT